TGAACTTTTTATAATAAACAAGTGGTGATCCATTTATAAAGAGCTTCTCCTCCTAGACATGCATAATGGCTTGACTTTTAATTATGAACCAGAAATACTTTATACCTTTGTCTTCACCCCTGGCAGATGCCCTTGAGGGAAAGTGATTAATACAGCGCTCTAAAATTACATCCTCCCCTCCTACACATTGTCTGTCTGTTGGAGCACAATGAAGGAGAGCCCAGAGAGAATCCTGTATTCTAGTATTGCCCATTAAAGGAAGACATCCAATGCATCATTTCCTTAACTGCAAACCATGCCCTTGCTTTGTCTCACCTCTGCTTCATGTGGAAGAGGGAAGTCCTGGGTTGTAAAAGGTGCAAAAACTTGGGATAGCTTTATGAGGAACAGGGGAATTTATATTATTCTCTAAGATTCTATAAACAAACAACAACAAAACAAAAACCCCAAAATATGGTTCCCAAAGTATGATTGGTTGAATTGTGACAACTCAAAATAAATGTTAAGGTTCTAACCCCAGCACCTTAGAATCTGACCTTACTTGAAAGTGGGGTCCATGCACATGCAACTGGTTTATATGGGGTCACACTGGAGGTAGGGCTATACCTCCAGTGTGACTGGTGTCCTTGTAAGAAGAGGGAAATGACCTGAAGAGACACACTGGAGACCCCCACAATGACAGAAGAGATCAGAATGGTGCAACTACAAGCCAAGAATGTCAGCGGTGCGGCCATCACTGCAAGCTGGTGAGGGGAAAGAGGGTTCCACCCAGAGTTTCAGAGGAGCATGGCCTTGATGACATCTCAATTTTGGATTTGTAACCTCTTTAACTGTGAGATAATAAATTTCTCTTTCTTTTAGGCCACCAGGTTTATTGCAGGTTTATTACAGCCCTAGGAAACTAATACCTAAGAGCCTGAACAATTTGTGCAGAAGTAGTTAAAAAAAGATGAGATAACAAGAAAGCAAGAGTTCATGAGGATTTTTTTTTTTTTTAAAGATTAGAATTGTAAGAGCACTGTTCAGAAAACTCATCTTAGGGAGGCAAGCATGGTGCTTGAAATTTCACCATTAGGACCAGGTGGTCAGTAGTCTTGGGAGAGGTAAAATATACATCTTTCACAAAGATGTATGTGAATTCCTTTGACAGGTGGAACTGGAGTGAGCTCTAGGCTATGACTAAAGATGAAATGATGAGAGGGAACAAGCTCCCGGGAGGGAAGGGATAGTGGTGCCCAAAAGGGAACTCAGAGCCCATGGAGATGGGGCCATCTTCAGGCTGTGGTCCAGTGAACGCTGGGATGGAGACTCTTGTTGGTGTGTTCACCTCCAGCACCTGGTTCACACGTCCTACTGACTAGTCCTCAACAGGATCTGTTTGCTTTTAAATGTCATCAAATTTCCAGGACGCCTCTCAATCTCATAAAGATCTTCATATTTTAAGTTCTAGTAAAATTGTTTCATCCTCCTCCTCTTCCTCTGTGCCTGTCTCCCAGTGTCTTCTTCACACCACTCACAGGCCTACAGTCCAAATAGCTGTATGTGGGTCTCCTATTTGCCAACTTCCTGGAGGTAGAGAACATGCCCTGAGTTTTATTTTTCTATCTTTAGTTAGCTCATCTTCAGAGTCCAACACCACAGCAAAAATATGGAAGCTCAGGAGGAGTATCACAGAGTGGGGGGGTCTAGATTCCAACCTCTCAAGCAGAGGTCAAGCTCCATGGGCTACATCTTGATGACCTCAGGACAGAGACTGGACTCCTTAAAGCCTCAGCCTCTTCATCCACATGTAATTCTATTGGCCTCATGGGGTTATTACAAATGAGAAAATACAACTGAAACCCTTTGCCTGAAGCCTGGCAGATAACTAGTGATCAGTAAATGTTAGACATTATTTAATATATGGACCAATCAGAATTCATATTGGTTAAAAAGATAACAGCTGCCTCTACACAATTTGGTGTGTTGGAATCAAGTTGGTCACCTACGTTTCTGTGAACTGATCTCAGCCTTGGATCCTCTCTCTTTGGTTGCTAATTTGCAGAAAAGAGCCACTCTGGCAGAATCCCGAGACTCTTCAGTTATGTGTGTCACAGGAAGAAGCCTGTTTAGGGCTTGAAAGTGGAAGAGGAACAGAGGTTGGCACTGGAAAAGGCCATTGAGTGTTGTAGGGAAAAACGAGGCAAGGCACCGAAGATAGCAGGAAACAGTTTTATTTGGCTGCAGCTAGGTTCAGAGGGCACACAGCTTTTGCTGTAATCAATCAATCCCCTGAACCCCAAGTTCAGGTAGTTTCAGAGTTTTATACCCAGCATGTAAGGGGAGGGGCTCAGAAGTTCACAGTCTGAAGTTCACATAAAAGCTGATTTTTCTTTCACTGTTCTGGGCAAGTTAACCCTTCAAGGACAACACCTGAGAAGGGGAGAGCTTCTTCTCCCCTTTCTTTCCTTCCCTGCCAGTTGTTACCATGGAACCCAGTTGGTAACTTCTCTTATCTTAAAAAATGTAGACATCTCTGTGAAGCCCAACTCAAGGCCAGAGGCCTTGTTTGTACATTTCTACAAACTACTATACTGGATATGTTTGTGAAAAACTAGTAAGGGGGTGTCCAGCACCTGGAGTGCTGATTTCTTCCTGGCCAGTGGCCAAGTAAAACAGGGCAGCATGAAAATAGAAGTTTATCTACATTGAACTCTTTTGCAGACAGTCCTAAAATCAGCCATGGTGAAGGTTTCTGGAGAAGCCTAGTTAAGACTTTTCTGTGGAGAATGGGGGTGCCACTACACCAGGGCAAACCTTGCTTCCTTGATTTTTGTTTAAGGATTACTGAGGTATTGCTTGATATTATCTTGAGTGCCAAGTTTAGCAGAAAATATCATAGACCGCCATGACTGCAATGCTGAATCTATAACAAGTTGTTTTCCAATTTACAATCTTAAGTCACTTCCAAGATGGGTGGTTCCTGTCAATCAGTTCCTTTTACTGACTCCTACTGTGGCTTTAGGTGAACAACTGAAAGTTCAAGAGCTTAATTTAGAGTTAATAAAAGCATAAACAATTAAATTTGGGGAGAAACAAAAATTCAGGAGAAAAAGGAGCCATAGGGGGCTGGGGTTGTGGCTCAGCRGTAGAGCGCTCACCTCACACGTGCGAGGCCCTGGGTTTGATCCTCAGCACCACATAAAAATAAAGGTATTGTGTCCAACTACAACTAACAAATAAATATTTTCTAAAAAGAAATAAAGGAAAAGGAGCCATAGAAGCTATACTAGAAAACGAGGTATCTCCCGCCAGCAGGATCATGCGGCGTTTGTTTTGTTTCTGGCTCATTTCATTTAGCATAGCCTCCAGGTTCTTCCCTGTTGTTGCATACAGCAGGATTTCCTTCTTTTTTGAAGGCTGAATAATTTTCCATTATTAAAGCAGAAATAAAGACAAACACTGCATGATTCTACTCATAAAAGGCACCTTCTCTTATGTGGCTTCTATGACTCCTTTCTCTTTTGTCTCCCCCCAAATGCAGTTCTTTGCACTTTTATTTTATTGTATATCACTTTATTCATTCACTCATCAACTTCAAAGAAGCAGAGAAAGGTGGTTGCCAGGGGCTGTGAGTTGAGGACCTCAATGGATGTAAGCTTCGGTTACGGTTACGGAAGACAAGTAATAACATTTAAGAGACTGGATCTCACATTGTGTTCTTATCACTCAAAAAGAGATGAGTGAGAGAGAAGTCCCCTTTTGGGCAGCAGGGCCAAAAACTGAGCCCCTCAAAACAGCAAGGTCAAGCCTGGACGTCTGAGCTCCTTACTTTGGGCATCTTGTTGATCCTCCCCTCYCGTTATATACACCATCAACTCTTCATGAAGGCTTTATTGTTCAATTGCTTTTTCCTCTTTGCAAAATTCCACAGTGGACAACAGAAGGCAGATGAAATGTACAGACATAAATGCCACAGGGCCAAGGAGCAACTAGCTTCAGGCTGTATTACTATTCTCTCTCTGCTTAGAATCGTTGTTTATCTGTAGTTTGACTTATTTTTAGAAAAAGAGATCCCTAAAAAAAAAAAAAAAAAAAAAAAGAAAAGAAAAGAAAAAGAGGTCCCTTCTTAGCACTTCCAAGATTCCACCCAACTCTGGGTTGATACTTTAGTTCACATTACAAAAATAGAAATCATAACCCCTGATTAGCCGCTTAGGAACTGCAAAGTGAGCTCTCTCTTGCTGACTCTTAAGCTATCCTGTGGGCTTTTCAAGCACATGCAGCTGATGAGCATCACAGAGCACAGCAGCAGTGCACAGGGGGACAGACTCTAGGCCCTGAGAATGACAGTGGCTGTTGACAGTGCCCTGGAAAGGCTGGTTAGTTCCAATGGCACTGCTTTCCCTGACCAGCAAGGTATTTGAGGGTAGTTAACATTTCCATCGCCTTAAACAGTTAACTTTGAGTCCTGGTTAAAAAACAGACATGTGGGCTGGGGTGTGGCTCACTTTTGCCTAGGTTGTGTGAAGCCCTGGGTTCAATCCTTAGCACCACATAAAATAAACAAATAAATAAATAAAGTAATTGTGTCCATCTACAACTAAAAATATTAGGAAGGAAGGAAGGAAGGAAGAAAAAGAAAGGAAGGAAGGAAGGAAGGAAGGAAGGAAGGAAGGAAGGAAGGAAGGAAGGAAGAAAGAAAGAGACATGTCCTTCGGTAGCCATCATTTTTCAGAGGTGGGTGTGTGGACAAACCACTCACCCTGGTGCAACTGGAAGAGGCTGAACTTTATGTTAGTATGTAATACTTACCAAGGCTTCATTACAGGAAATAAAACCTTGAGATCAAGGAAGGCAGATGTCTTTTTAAGAATCTACATAATAAAATTCATTACTCATTCAGTTGTGCTGAGTCCCCCCTCCCATGCTTGTAAGCGTAGAAGTTGCGCCCTGGTTTAGATATTCACAAGAACTAAATTTTTTAAAACCTCAAATTTTAGGATAATTTTTATTTACAAAACAGATGGGTTCTCTTGTTTTACAAAAATTACAAAAAGTGACTCTTGAAAATAGAAGTAGCTTCTTAGGTCTCGGGAACTACGGTTAAGCGACCGAGGAGGAGCTGGACCCCAAAGTCCTTTTCGGGGGCTGTTGACAGCCGCACTCATCGCCCYGGCTCAGGTCAGAGTCTGAAGGAGCAGGATCTTCTCGTTTATGCAGAACCTGTGCAGCACCACCATCAAATTCTCACCACAGCGGGAGACCTGGCGCTCCATGGCCAGGCGGAAGTCCTCCTTCACACCCTTGGTGATGCCCCGAGTGACAGTGTGGTGCCTGAGGCAGCGGACAGGGAGACAGATGGAGAGCAGGCATTAGCAGCAGCACCACCTCCCAGTGCTACCTGGTAGGAGCAAAGCCTGCCTCGTTTCTAAGCATAATAGGTAAAACGTTCTAATCACATTTTTAAAATGAAAAGAAAGAAAAGCTGCAACCAGCCAACCACTCCTGCCTGTTCTTCTCAGAAAGCTAGAGGCACTTTCCCACCCTAAACCAAGTTATTTTAAACAGCTGAATGTTCTTGAATTGCCACCTGCTTTGCTTTTGAACTCCTGGAGCTCTGGCGGTATGCATCCCCACCTCTGGCCTGCACACATTTCGGTTACTTGGGGCAGAATGGTTGCTACCCACACTGGCCACAAAGCGCTGTGTCCAGCCAGGACAGCAGGCTCTGGAGAGGCAGCGGCAGAGAGGAGGGAACCCAGAGTGCACCAATCACTGAGGACAGTTTCCACCGGGGCCCCTGCGGCTGGTGCTCCCTGAAGGCTTGGAAAGGCCTGGGCCTCAACACAGCCGTTGGGGTCCCTGCTGTCCCTCTCCCAGAGTGCCAGAAAAGGGAAGCTCCTCTGAGCACTGCGCCCATCCAGACTCTCATCTGTTTGAGAGAAAGCAGGGGGACTTGAGGGTCCTGAGACAAGAATGTGGCACAGGTTGGGAGAGAGGCAGAATCACTGACAGAGGCCTGCAAAGTCCTAGAAAGACCAGATCTGTCCAGGAGACTTGGAGGGCCCTGCGTGGAAGGGTCGGTGGGAACACAAGCAAAGTGCTCCCTGTGTCCCAAAAGTTGTGTATTAGAAAAGGAAATCACAAATGAAATCCTGGAAAACTAAAGACCACAAAATGCAGAGAGGAAAAGAAAAATCCAGCAAAAATCAGTGGACTTGATTAAGAGGAAAGGATTCTGGTTACTAGTTTGGTAATAAGTGGTAGACTGAGACAGACAAAAGCCACCATTGTTCCCTGCCCCTACCACCTAACTCTCTTTAGACAAGCTGGAAAGTGAGATTTTCATGTAGTGTGCAAACAAAACTATTGATCATTCTAAAACGTTTGTTTTTAAAACTTGTATGAACTATATAAAATAAGTGCATCAGGAGGCATAAAACTACAATGCAATAGAAGAAAAAAATCAGGCTTTGTTAGACTAGTAAAGATATTACAGAACATTTTACCACACCCATGGATGTTTAAAAGAACTATGCAGTGAAACATCGGGCTGTGGGGAAAATGCACAGCTCTTTGTGGACTGTCCTAACCCAGTCTGGCTGGTGAACTCAGGAGCTGGGACATGGTGGCAGTGGGGTGGAGGCTCTGGGTTCCATTGGGAGCAGATGCAGACTATTAGATGCAACCTTGATCCTGCTCTGCTGGGTCCCAGGCTGCAACCTCGCATTGGAGGCGATCCTCTGCTCAAGCGGAAGTAACTAGTATATATTTGCAGGCAGTAAGTTGAGGGGCAATTTCTCCCCTTAATACAATCAAAATGTAATTAAATGCTCCATTCTGCTAAGCGAGGTCCAGCGGTATTGTTTCCATATATAAAGAGTAGCCCCACATGATGATAGTTCTAGTGGAGCCTCTAGCCCTTTAGCAAGTTTGGATGAACATGGGAATTACAGTCATGTACTAAGGAAAGATGTTTCAGTCAATGATGGACCACGCGGGTCCCATATAACCTAGGTGTGCATTAGTCATATCACCTCCTTTTGTGTAAGTCCCCTCTATGATGGTCACATGATGCAGAAATTGCCTAATGAGAAATTTCTTAGAACTCATTCCCATCAGTAGATGACAGATGACTGTAGTTAGCTTTTATGGGTAAGAAAAGGATAAACTAGCTAATAAATATGGCATCATTTAGCCTATCAAATATTTTCAATTCAGAAAGACAAGGTCTGAAAAACTAGCATCAGTGTCAGGAGAAAGCTGTGCTAATGCTTATTTATACCACAGACAGTATGGTCACTAATATTAAAATCCACGAATAAAAATTTACTTAAACTTCAGCATTCTTAAATACTTATGACTGAAAGCTTCATGTTTTATCAAAAGTGAATCATAATTTAGCGCTTAATCTAATACAGCTTTATATAAGTATTTTTTCCAGATCCATAATGATTTTTAAATTCGACACAAACACACTGGCAACTTATGGAAAAAAAATAAGAAATGTTACAATATTACAACCAGATGGTTTGCCAAGGAATGCGGAACAAATTAAAAAAATTAAATAAAGCATGAAAAAGAGCACTGAGGAACAAAGAGCTGGAAACCATGGGCAGTAAAACATGTTGACACACAGCACACTATGAGCAGGTGTTTTCCACTTGGTACCTGTCAGCAGTCTGTATGCTGGGCTGAAGCACAGGTAAGAATTCCTGCTGCAGTAACCCCATGGGAGGGCTAGAAGGCCTTTAAAAAACAGCAAACAGCAGCATTCAAACACCCACACCAACGCACCCTGCACTGCAAAAACAACACTCCGGAGAAGGTACACAAGACTGGAAGCGGACTGTACAGAAACTGTAACCTGGACAAGCCCCTGGCCACGGAGTGTTTTCGGGGAGACAGGGGAGAAGCTAGTGAGCCCTCACTGCACCCGCTGCAGGTGCGAGTCCAGAGGCATCTTGGTTCCTGGTCCCAGAGCTCAGCCCATATGAGATTTGGTATTAAAAGCCATCAGTGAGGAAGAGGACGAGGCAGTGTGACTGGGTAGTAGAGGAGAAGGGTCAGCATTTGAGAAGACACGAGTTCAAATCCAGCCTCCTTCACTCTGTACTCTTCTCATGCCCACAAAAGTCCCAGAAATACACCTGGTGACTTTGTGTGACCACCAGGAACAGGATTGAAACCCCAGACTGAAAGGGCCTTCCAACAGGACTAGAGGGGCTGGCAATGTTTTTGATAAAGCGTGAGTTTGAAGTCCAACCAAGTATTGAGAAAAGCAACTGATGGGGGAAAATGAGTCTGGGACCCATGGCTTTGCAGAATTCTGTAACAACAAAGATTTAGCATATTAGCTGGTATTCACCTCATTCAACATATCGTTTTCCATTTTAACCCAATCTAATACAACTAAGATACTGCAAATATCAGCATAGAAACATTTCTCTATGTTAAAACACTTCACGTAACAGATGAAGAGCTTATCTCTCCTTTAGGTCAGACACCAGGTGCCCTTGGGGTTTGTACTGTACCTGCTTGCATCGGAGATGCCACAACTAGGACGACTCACAACCTTACCCAAGGGGAGGAGCTGTACACTGTTCACAACATCTCTGCCACTCATCTGGAGGGACCACCCACAAGGTCTGCAATGGCTTCAGAGAATTTGTTTGGAACCCAAAGGGAAAAGGAATATAGATAGTTTTATTCAAGAGTCTAATAACACCTCAGTTAGTAAAAGCTCACTGTCTTACGCAGTTTGCTTCTCCTCTGTAGCTTAGGTATACGCTATCTGAAATACAGGCTTCAACTTTACTTTGAGACCCACAGAGAGAAGACCCAGCAAATTCCTACAAGGTCAGATCACTAGGTAACAATCCCTATTCCTGTTTCCAAACCAATGAAACTTCAGGTTTCCTGTCTTCTACAGGACGCTTGAAGAAATTAAGTGTTAGACAGGTCAACATGGGAGAGCCTAGAACTGCCCCAAAGCCTGGGAATGCAGGCTGGGTGCCCTTTACACAAACAACCCCTCCTAGTGACACTGTCGGGGTATTTGATGCTTCTTTGCTTTAATTCCTTGTCCCAGGGATTGCCTGCATGTGCCCATGGTACTGTTCAGTTCAAGAAGAGAAGAGAARCTCAGAACAAGGAGGACTGAGGTTCCACTGTATCTGACAGCCCATTCTCTCAACCATCCCCCAGCAGTGAAGCAGGATCTAGGTGATGTGTTCATCCTCTGCATGTTTAACCCATGTAGGTGGAGTCTGGTTCTAGCTGAGGATCCTTCTATGTTAGGACCATCTGTATGAGGATTAYTGATTAACTTTTTAGTTAATTTTTAGCTTTATTAAAGGTATATTTGTATATTCTGTTTCAAAACCTAGGAATTCTAACACAAAAGGGATTCCCTGGGCTCTCATATCAAAAAGTGATCTATTTCCACACAATGTCAGGAGTACTTTGAACCATGCCATTATTTATTTTTCCCATAGTTTTGATTCACCATCTTAGGAAACTGAGGGGAGAAGGGAAGATGAGTATGCCAGTCCATCTTGCCTAAGCCACCTTCATGCATAAGGGTTTCAGGTTTTCAAAAAAAGAGCATTTGTCCTTTTGTTTTAAGTGTTTAGAATATTCAGTATCATTTACAAGATGAAGGGGACAAAAACAAAAAACCAGTTCATCTCTCCATTCTTTAGAATGGATTCCACAAGAYGCTATTGTTTTCTAGGACATAAACAGAAATGTTTGCTATGTGTCAAATTACTGAGGTTGTAGAAATCCAGAATAAATGTTTCTTATTTCCCTTCCTCAATATTTCTAAGACTCTCCAAAGACAGAGCAAGATGTGGATTTTTGCTTTCAACAACTAGAAATTCTTTTATTCCACACTGAGGTACTTTCTTCCCACTCGGGGTCAGTCCCTTGCAGTACCTCTAACACTGACTTGCAGACAAACTGAGTATGCAGGAAGCAAAGGAGAAGTATGAAAATAAAACTGCACGTGGCACTCACAGCAGGGAGGAGATATTACCCAAACTACAATGAAGATCGAGGAGAGAAGCAAAATTATGAGCTATTTAAAAATCATAAATGGTCACTACCTTCACATTTTCATCTGAGCCAACCCGAAATTTAGGTAACATCCTGTGGTATAGGGGGCAGGCCTGAGAGCCAGCACCCCCACCTTCACCTGGGGACAGGTGGCTTCTTTCTAGAGGTGCTACAATGAGCTGTTCCACTTTGTGCAATATAAGCAATGAGGGCTTCAAGTATAGTTTTATAAATAAAATCTGTAGTTTTTCCTAATAAATTTTCCTAACCCAGAACATCTTTAAATATGGTTGCTCTTTGTTAAAAACCCTTAGTCTCATCAGAAATTTACAAAATCAGTGTATATTTTGGAAAGAAAAGGAACCTTCTATCTAGTGAAGAAGTTTGACAGATATACTCCAATTTAAATATTTTTTTCAAAATATCCTTTAGTTAAGAAAACACAAGTCTTTCAAAAGATACCCAGAATCAAACTGACCTTCAAAAACAGAAACAAGGTTTGGCTTCCTTTCTATTACACTTTGAAAAGGTACTGAAATTTACATATAGTTCACGTAAGTACACAAAAGGTGAGCACTTGGCTTAGAAGAGCAAAAGATAGTCTACTTACTTGATCAGCATTCCTTGATTGGGGAGTAATTCCAGATGAATCTTCCCACCTTCCTGAGTTCTCAAGTAGGCAAACTCCTCCAGCATATCAATGTCTGCAGCCATATTCAGGTTAACCACACGTAAAGACAAGGTCTCAGTGCTCTCAGGTGGGACTGGCTCCCAGCAGTTGACAGACTTGCCCTTCGAATCCCACTAATGATTGCAGAGTATCTGAAATCCAGGTCTATCGGATTCCAAAACTTATGATTCTTAGATCAACCCAGCGGCCTCATAAAGAGAGTTCTGGCTTCCGATGTGCCTGGCTGAAGAATATTAGGAAAATGTGTTTTTTCCAGTGATAATTTAGCAGAGTCTACATGCTCATAAGAGCAAAAACAAATTTTTTCTTAATAAGAAATCAAAGAGGTGTTTGGTGTGGGATGGACTGTTTTGTGTTATAGAACATAAATCATAAAATACCTAGTGTGGCAAGGATTCTTAGATGTTTCAGGGAAAGAAGGATCTGTGAAACTTGGAAATTTCATGCAAAATGTTGATGACATTCACATACACATTTTTCTGGTGAAAAGCTATATGACTTTCATTAGATTCTCAAAAGGCATCTAACAGTTTTTAACTCATTGCTCTGAGTACTTGGACAAAGACAGAATACATCTTATAACTCAAAATAATGTGTTAAGCAATGAAATAAAAATACCCAAACTGGTGTATAACCTTCAATTCAAAGGTCTTTCCCTAACTGTGAAATAAAGCACTGCCCATTACTGATACCAGAACCTTTGGTGGGTGCTCATTGGTAGCTGTGACAGTGTGGCATGATGTACTAATAAGCAATCTCAGGGGACAGTCAATGTCCCAGGAAAGGAGAGGGGGGCACTCTTTGGATAGATGAAGGCCAGGGTACTATCATTTTCTATGGCTAAACCAGCCAGCCTGGGCTTGTCCACAACCTGTAAGTTATTACTTCAGGCATCTTGGACACCTTCTTAGAGGTCAGTTAGAAGATAAAAATGAATGTGGTTGTTGATACTCCTGATGCCCTGAATTACATCTTTGAAGCCTTTTAAGACTTTTATGAAACCAAAAGTCACAGCCCCACTTTAAATCACCATTCTTTCCCTTTTTCCCCAAAAGAACCAGTATTTTTACCCAGAGTGGTTCATTAATTTTCTAAGAAATCAGAACCTGTTGGCACTTTAACAAGAAAAAGGATACTTGTAACATAATTAAAAAAATTCTCATATTGGAAATTTCCTTGTTGACAAATCTTATTAATAGCCTTCAAGAAAAGATTCTCTCCTCGTGGCCACTCCTGCTGRAGCAATACGATCACATGCCCCAAAGCCATGTCRTCTCTGTTGTCTGTGAAAGCTCTAAGCTGCAAGACAAAGATTTAAACCAGAAAGAAATCACAGGGTAATCTAAAATGCACCAAATATTACCTCCTAAAAAAATGCTGCATATACAAATGTTTGATGATGATCATTAGAAGGAAYAGAGTAGAAAATAACTGCCTTCTAAGGAGGGTAGATCTTAATCAGAGAAGCTGGAGGCTCCCCCTGCAAAGCTGACAGTTGCTGGCAAGGTATTTAACTGGGAGTTGGACATTCATGTGTGACCTGGAAACTTTTGATTTTGAACCATGGCTACATAAAGTTAGGTCATCCGGAATAACAGAGGAAAGATTCTGGAGACCTAAGGGGTGAGTGGAAAAGATGGGCAAGAGGCCATCTATCTAAGAGAGAAGGGTTYGAGGGACTAGACAGAAAGAAAGGCAGTGAATAAGAAGGAAATATGAACTAGAGAAATAGCCAAAGGACTTTTTCCTTTAAATGGCCAGCATAAAATCATACTTCAGTTCCTTCTGTTGCTCCAAGTGGTTCAGAGCTAAGTTAGGGAACGGATGCTCTACTGTGGAAAACCAATAACATTACTGCCTTACCCACAAACCTCTACTCCAATCTAAGGCTCCGTTATACCTACAGCCAGGGCGCTGGTGTCCTTTCAAAAATCCTTGAACCTTTCCAAAACTACTGGGTCTTTGCTAATGTTCAYTCTCATGTCTAAAATGCTTCTACSGGGGCTGGGGTTGTGGCTCAGTGGTAGAGCGCTTGCCTAGCATGTGGGAGGTACTGGGTTCAATCCTCAGCACCGTAGAAAATAAATAAATAAAATAAAGGTATTATGTTCTTCTACAACTAAAAAAAATAAAATGCCTTTATCCTCTATATCTTTATAATAAACTTATCATCCCTCTACAAACTCAAGTGGCATTTATGTTCCTTTCTTCTAGAGCTAAATATAGTCTGACCTGTATATTAACTTACAAAATATTTACTGAGCCTTACTATAGGCAAGGTTATTTGCAAATCTGTTCCACTATTATTTGTAAACTTCCCTATTCACCTTTACCAACTACAGTTTTTATTTAAGATTTGTTAATTCCTAGCCCCTGTGTTTTTCCCTCTATATCAACCTGCCCTTTAGAAGTAATAAACTAACAATCATTAATAAGGTTCTCAATTCAAGTCATTCCAAGTCACCAAGACATTATTGCAAATTAAATGTTTTTTATGCTAATCAACTTAAGGCTTACCTTAAAACAGGCTAACATCAAATGCAGGCAGTATGGCATAATAGCCTTACTGGTACAGGGCAGAAGCTTCAGATCAGAACCTAACAAGAGTCCACAATGTTAATGAATGCTATAATCCAAGAAAACAGCTTTGAAAAAGCAAATGCTCAAGAAGCTTTCCTTCTAACAATAAAAAGGATAAGCAACAGTCACATGGTTCCTAGTACTGTTAAGCCACAGTTTATACTCTGAGATGGTGAAACTGGTTTCTAGCTTCATTTTGCAATCTTTTTTTTTCTTTCCTAAACTCACATAAAGATTTGATTTTAAAATTATAAAACATCTCAACTATATTCAGAAACTGAAAGAGAGAATATTGTAAACACTGTGCTCATCACACAGTTTTATATAACATTAATATTTTGCTTAATTTTAAAAGATTTTAATACCAAGTATTACAAAGTCAGTTGAAGCTTCTTGTGTATCTTTCTGATATCATTCTCTTCTGTCCTCTCCAGAGGTAGTCACGGTTCTCAGCCTGGTGGCTGTCATTCCCACACATACTGCAAACTCTTCCTCATCAGTCTGCATTCATAAAAGCTAGAGGGATGTTTTGCACATTTTTGGCATACTATATGAAATGGTGGCATACTCTATGAATCCTTTCACAAGGTGCTTTTTTTTAACTCATGTGTTTCAGATTTATCAATAATAATCCATGTAGCTACAGTTCACTCATTTTCAGTGTTTTACAGTATTCTGATATTTACATATATCACAATGGATTTGTTTTCTTTATGGTAGATATTGAGGTTTCCAACAATGCTGAAATAAATATTCTTTTTTTAAAAATAAATATTCTTATATATGTTTTCTTGTGCACCTATGGAAAAAAAACAAGCATTGGCTTTTAAACAAAGATCCCAATCTCTTCATTTATGGTCTGTGTTCTTTATGTACAACAGCCTTCTCTACCCAGAGGCAAGTAGCAGCAAGAAATCAATCCTTCATTTTTGCTCTCCCTGATACATTTTTTTTACCTGGGGATCCTCTACAAACTTAACACTTGTTTTATATCCAAAACAAAAGATTTATGAAATAATATTTATAAATAATACTTAGCTGCAGACACTGAAAAATATTCTATTTTATTAAGAAAGAAAATTCCTCCAGGCACGGTGCTGCACACCTGTAATTCCAGCAGCTCAGGAGGCTGGGGCAAGAGGATCGCAAGTTTAAAGCCAACCTCAGCAATTTGGCAAGACCCTAAGCAACTTTTGATATCTGTCTCAAAATAAAATATAAAAAGGGGTTAGGGATGTGGCTCAGTGATTAAATGCCCCTGGGTTCAATCCTTARTACCAAAAAAAAGAAAATTACTGTTTGAAACTCATGATCCAGTGGGTGAGGACCCACAGTTTGAAAAATACCAATCTAAAGTACGCAACAAGGAGATGAGGTAAATAACTAGGTAATGATATATTCAATTTGGTAATGCTCAAATAGTTTCCAAAATGGCTGTACAATTCTACACACCTTCTGTCCTGAGAAATAAGTATTGCCAYTTCAGGAGGAGAACCTTTTTAAACAGTTTTTGGTAATTTGGATTTCTGCCTTGATTACTCTGTTCTTCATATCCTTTGCTTATTTTATGATGTGAGGTTGGTTCATTATTCTCATTGATCTGAACTGGATATTTTTATGTGTTAGACAATTTCCTGGCATTCTATGGCTTATCTTTTCAATTTACTCGTAATATCTTTTGTTGGCATTTAAATTTTAATCTGACAAATTTACTCATTTTTTTCCTCCATAGTGTGTGCTCTTTGTAGACCAACCTACTTAGAAGGCATAAAAAAATTTCTTCTAAAAGTTTAAAAATTTTAATTCTCACATTTAAATCTTAAAATTTAAAAGATTTTTGTGCAGTGTGAAAGAGGAATCCCATTTTTTTTACAACTGAACAATTACCTGTCTCAGTATCATTTACTGGATAATGGCATTCTTTCCTTACTGAATTGTAATGTCACTTGTTTTTTTTTTTTTTATTTGGGGTTTCATTTTTGCCGTGTGGGGATAGAACTACCAATGAGCTACCCCTGAACCCCTCAGTTTTCTCTGCTATTCCACCGGTCAAGACTCGATCATCTGACCCACCCCATCTGCTTCTGTTTCGCATGGATACTTGATTTTTTAAGAMGTCTGGGTTGAATTGATTACTTTAAAAACCTTTGTTATAGAAAACTTAAACCAACCATAAAACAACTTGTCTAGCACCATTTGTTAAAAGGCTTCCTTTCCTTACTGAATTACTTTGGTACTTTTGTCAGAAATCATCTGACCATATCTGTGTGGCTCTACGCCTGGATTCTCCACTGTTACACCTATACCGTTCTGACAGCTGCATTTTTATACTGAGTAGTACTTATCATGTAGCCTAAGCCATCCAATTTTGCCTTTTTTGAAACTGTGTTCATAACTCTAGATTACATTTCCATATAGATTTTATACTCAGCGTGTCCCTTAAAAAAARTCTGCTGGGGTTTGCTGGGATTACATTGAATCTATAGACAAATCTAGGGAGAAATGGTTCCTTAACAAAACTRAATCTTCTGACTTTGTAAATGTGATCTATCAAATGTCAAAGTTCAACATTAATTTCTCTCAGAAATGTTTCATAATATATGAAGTGGAGGTTTTACATGTCTTTTATTGAATTTGTTCCTGTATGCCTTATTTTTTAGGTTATTATAAACAGAAACAAAAAAATTTCATTTTTCGATTGCTTATTACTACCATGTATGAATTGAATTTACTCTTTTGCATTGAAGTGTCTTGGAAATTTTACCTATTACTTTTTGTTTTGTTTTTGCAATGCTGAGGATCAAACCCAGGGTCTCATGCATGACAGGCAAGCTCTCTGCCCCTGCAATACATCTTTGGCTTTCCCCATTAGTTTTAGTAGCTTTTTGGAGATTCCACAGGCTTTCCTACATAGCCAAGTATGTAACTGTAATGTCACACCTATGAATAGTCTTTTTAAATCTTTAAAGCCTTTATTCCTATTTCTTAGCCTTACTACACTGGCTATAATCTCCAGAATGTTGAACAGGAGTGGTGAAAGCAGACATTTCTGTATTAGATGAAAGATTCAATATTTTATGTTAGACATGATTCCCAGCAGCTTGGGAAGCTGAGGAAGGAGAAGCGCGGGCTCAAAGCCTGCCTCAGCAAAAGCGAGGCGCAATTCAGTGTGAGACTTCACCTCTAAATAAGATACAAAATAGGGCCGGGGATGTGGCTCAGTGGCTGAGTGCCCCTGAATTCAATCTCTAGTACCAAACACACACACACACACACACACACACACACACACACACACACACACACACAAAGATTTTGAGAACATTTCCTTCTTTTTCTAGATTGCTAAGATTATTTTTATCACAAATAGGTACTATTTTCTGTGTCCATTAAGAATCAGAATGATTTTTCTCCTTTAATTGCTTCGTGATGAACTACACTGTTTGGTATGTTAAACTGCCTTCACATTCCTGGCACATTGGTCTTATGTATTATCCTTCTCACACATTGCTATATTCCATTTGCTAATATTTCATTAAGTATGTGCATCTGCATGCATGGTAGAGACTGGCCTTTAATATTCTTTTTTTTGTAAACRTTTATTTGATTTTGCTATTGGGTTATGCCGGCCTTAAAAAATGAGCAAGTAATCTTTTCTGAAAGAAATTGAATTGGATTGGTGATATATCTTCTTAAATTGATAAAATTCATCAGTAAAGTCATTTGGACCTACAATTTTCTTTGTGGGAAGGTTCTGGATGACAAACTTAAATTTTTAGCTATAAAGACATTCATTTTTTGTACATTATTTTCTGTCAGTTTTGGTAAGTAGTGCTTTTCAAAGAACTTCTCCATTTCATCTAAATGGTTAAATTTATTGGCATAAATGATTCTCTTACTATCGTTTGATTTCAGTAGAATCTTTAATGACATTTACCTTTTCATTCCTGAGAATAATAACTTGTGTTAATCTTCTTTCTGATTAATTTTGTTAGAGGTTTATCAATTTTATGAAAATTAAAAAAAAAACTATTTAGGGATTTATTAATTTTCCTTATTTTGTTTCCACGTCATTGATCTCCGTTTCTGAATTATAATTTCCCGTCTTTGGTGTTTTTTAGGCTTAATTTGCTTATCTTGTTCTAATTTTAAGGTAGAAACTTACTTATAAGTTTAGTTTTTCAAGCAACATGAAAGTTGACGTAAAGCCCAAAATGGCCCTCAAGGGCTGTGCGGAGACAGACTTCCTAATCAGTCATCTACAGTTTTCCTAGAATTGGCCACAGTAGGAAAGAGTTTACTGATATTCTTCAGAGATACAGACCAAGGAAGTGGGGGCTTTGGAAGATGGGCTGACAGCTGCTCTGTGAAGAACAATCTGGAAAGGCATTAGCTTTCCAGAAAATCCAGTTTGGAGAGCCCTGCAATCTTGTCGGCTCACCAGGAACTGTAAAGCACACCTCAGCCTTACGTCCTACAGCTATTTTTACCAAAGAATAGTAAGACTTGTCACTGTACCTTTTCTAAATTTGGGTTTCACTTTTGAGGGCTCCTCCTGTGATTTGCCTCCATCTTGAATGGGGAGTACCATGTAGCACATCAGGTCAAGGACTTTCTCACACGTCATCTGAGGAACATAAAACCAAAAAGAATGAACCCGATGAGCTTTCTGAACTGAATCAAATAAACAGAACGACTAATATTTCTAGCAAATAACCAGGCACCGAGATTCTGCCTTAATACCATGGTCTCCGAGGGAGCACCACCACGGTCTCCCAGGGAGCATCACCACTGGCTCCACAGCAAGTACCAAAAAGTAACAGCAAGATTTAATCTACACACTAGAGGGGACGAGAATCCATTCTTTGCTATTAGAAAACAAAAGGACAAAACTTAAAAATTAACCAAGTATTAACAAAATCATCAAGTGTTCGACAGCACAGCAGGATCTAGAAGAAGGGTGGCCCTGCCTCATTGCCATGCACTCCCAGGCTAGAAAAATAACAGAAACACATTGGCCAGACCAGCAGGAAAAGCTCTGGGCACAGAGGTCATCCTGATCCCAGCTTTACGGCGGGGAGGGGGGACCCTCTAAGAGAAAAAGAGGCTGTGAAAGCAGGAGACGGAGATGTGAGGAAGGGCCGCATCTTGGTTTGGGTAGTTTACTTGAGAGGAGAGGGTAGGGACCGTACAGATGCAGACTCTAAGGTGAGAGAAGCAGGGAATGCCCGGGAGCAGGCTGGATCCCCAGGGGAGTGGCACTGCTGCTCACCAGCTTTCTGTCTATTCCAATTCTAATGCCAGTGGCCAGATTCCCTTTAGTGAGCACCTTCTGTGCAGGGAGCAACCCTTTATTATCTCCATGTTGYCCATGAGGAGAGGAGCTTTAACCCATGTTTCCCAGCCTTCCTCATGGCTTAGCAAACCCAGAAAACAGTGTTTGCATGGCTGCTCCAAGCTGGCGGCCACTGATCCTGGGCAGTTCTAGCTGCCCTAGGCCACTGCCAACTGCCCTGAGGGCTGAGGAATCCCTATCTTAGCACATCTGGGACCCATCAGTGGCCATTGGGTCGTGAAACTCTAGCTTAGAGACCGGTAGCTTGGTGGTTAAGAGGTAGTCATTCCAAGGGAGGCAACTGGCCCAGCATCCCAGAGCCAGTACATGGAGTGCCTTCCCCAAATGTCTACTGTGCAAATGCCTGGGCATATCAATATTTTATTTTAACCTAGATAAACATTCATACTTTCTCTCCAACTCCAATTGTGCCACCTCTGCATGCAAGGATCCCATACACCCCACCCCAAAGCCTGGTCCAACACTGAGCTCATAGAAAGCTAACACTTCAGTTAAGTGGAATGAGAAAAGCAGTTATCTTAGACACAATGACCATGATTTTATAAGTTTGGAAAAAAGACTATTCCTCAGTTGAAAAGCAGAGATTTGGGTGGGGACAATGAAAATACTTTAATGTCATACTGGAAGAATTAGAAAGACTGGCTTGATCAAGAGTGAACCATGACTCAGAGTTCCACATCTAAGGGTCACTACTGTGGTCTAAATGTCTGTGGTGCGTACTCCCCCTCCCATTCCCCCCCTAAAACTCATATATTAAAACCAAGCATCCAATGTCAGAGTACCAGGAGGGTAGGGCCTATGGGAGGTGAGTAGGTCATGAGGGTCTTACAAAGGGACCCCGGAGAGCTCCCCTGTCCCTCCTATAAACCAGAAAGCAGGTTCTTACTAGACACTAACTTTGCCCACACCTCGACCTGGGACTTCACCTGTAGAACTGTGAGAAGTACATTTCTGTTTTTATGAGCAACTCAGGCTATGACTTTATTTTTACAGCTGCCTAAGTAGACTAAAACAGCCAGAGAATTAAGAAAACTCACACCTGGATGGATGGAGTCTGAGCTGAAGAGAGGCATCCAGAGATTCAGGAGATCTGGTAAGCTACCACTGCAATAGAGGCCTGAGGGTGGTCAGCTTAGAAGTGGAACCTGAATCCCTAGCCTAATAACATCTATCAACTTATGTTATACTCCTTGGTACAATGAAGAGCAGTACGCCATGTCTTGGTAATTCTATGTGGCATATATTTTTATATATGTATGCATGTATACGTGCATGTGTGTATCCATATACATATACCTGTATACATATACATATACCTGAGGATAAATTGTGCTCTTTCAAGTTCTCAAAAGGAATTAACTGAATCTTAGAATCAAGTACCGATAATTGCATGAGTAATAATGGAAAAGCATCTTCAATTTTAAATGTTCATAGTTTACATATTATCAAATTATTTCTGCAAAAATCATCACAGCAATTATAAATCATTTCAGAGTTCAAGTTAAAAAATTAGGGACTTTAATCACAAAGTAACAAATTTAACATAGACATGAAAAGAAATAAGAATCTGTGTGTTAAATAGTGGCCTTGAATTTATACAGTACATACATACATAAAAAAATCTAATATTAATTGTATTAAAAAGTTTATTGTGTATTCCTGCTGTGAAAATCACTGTGGTAGCTGTTATAAGAAATTCAAAGGTAAAAACTGTGGTCCCTGCCCTGCAGCAGGACTCAGCCTCTGGGAGCAAACAGATCCATTCACAAACCTGCTCCCGCAATACCCTATGGTGTCCTCAACACCCAAAAAGAGATCCTGAGGTCTGGATGAGCTAAATATCAATCCTCCATTTCCCATTAGCGAAGGCCTCTTCTTTCTAAGCCCAACAGAACTGATTTACACTTTAAAGAGATGTGACGGCTGAAAAATAAATAAATAAATAAATAAGAAGAATAAAATAAAGAGATACCAGGCAAAAAAAAAAATTTTTAAATTGCCTTCCAACAAAATTGAACCATGAATAAGAAATTTGAACTGTACTGAACTAATTTCAGGGAAGTTATAGTAAAGAGAAAATTAAGTAAAATGAAATCACTGTAGTTTCTGCCAACAGACTAAGTACTAAATCCAGGCAGAAAGATCAAATGCAGAAAAACATGCACTGAATTAAAAAGCCATTCTGGGGAAGAGAAAGCGCAGGGTGGTCTGGAATACCTCGGGCTCCACGCAAGGTGCCTAGCACTTACTCTGTACTCCCCCAGGGCAAAGTGACAGGTCGCCAGCTGGATGAGTGCCCTCTGATGCTCCAAAGTCCCCTGTCCTGTGATCTGTGGCTGAGAGAGTGATCCCTGGAGAGCTGCTAAATGATGGAGGCTGGCTATCGCCTTTTTATATTGACCCTAAGAGAGAGAACAGCAGGAGGAATAAACAATGCCATTAATACCCAACAAACACCCAAAGCTCCCAGAGTAAATACAGCTACCAGGAAACAACTACAAATAAGTAATAAGTAACCTCTGTAGCATCAGCTAAGCAGAACAAAAGGACACAGCAACAGAACCTAATCGACTTACTTAAAGCTAGATGAAGTTCATTATGGAAGTATTTTATAATACAGTCATCCCTGGGAATCCTCAGGGGATTGGTTCCAGGATCCCGGCAGATACCAAAATCTGTAGGTGCTTAAGGCCCTTGCATAAAACCATGTAGTACTGGCATATAGCCTACATACTTCTTCCTTCACACTTTAAATCATCTCTTGATTACTCACAATACATAATACAATGTAGGTATTACACATATAGTTGATATTGTTCAGGGACTAATGACAAGAAAAACAGTCTGTGGGTTCAGTACAGACATGATCTGTTTTCCAAACATTTTTATCCACAGTGGGTCGAATCAGTGCATGCAGAATGCCCAGATATGGAAGCTGACTATACAAAGACCTTCCTTCCTGGTCTTAAGTCTTAAAACTAGAGAGAGTAACACAAGCTCTTGACAGAAGTATTTTACTACTAACGCCATTTGTCCTTTAAGAAGGTTGGCTGCAGCAACCTCTCCATTTCTACATCTCATTAGCAAATTGTCTGCGTTCACTATTCTAGGTCTAAGAAGCTGGTGAAGGGCAGGCTGGATTCCACCAGAGCAGAGTGGAAAAGGGCTGAAAAGTACTTATCTTCTATTGAAACTAAAAATTGCACTTCCACTGTGCCTGGACTCGCCAAGGGCAACATGGGAAGGGATGGCCTGGTCACTCTGGAGGTACTTGGAGGTGAAAGTGGATCGTAATCCCTTAGCCACTGAAAACTGAGCCTTGTGAATGAGCAACAACACAGCCCATGGGGGAACACGACGCGCCTTGTAGGTTAAAGTCTGATTGAGACAATCATCATCCTGTGCAGACACGGGAACCCGCATACCGCTCTACCTGGTAGATGATCATATCCGTGAGGAAGATTCTTAGCCATAGCCACGTATCCGTCTTCCATGCCAAACAAATTCTTGTAAATTCTAAGTGAGAATTCAAAAGCAAATTCACCAAAAACATGTAACATAGAAGGGGAAATGAAACTAACAAACCCAGCAAGTAAGAACAACAGATAAATTACTAAGAGCTGCACAGTAACTTCGGACTAATTTCTAAAACCACATTCCAGAGCTTCAGTTGGAAAGTAAAGTTAGAACATAACTCTTATCAGTAACACACAAGCAGCATTTTTTTATGAGACACCAACATGTGTAAACACACTTTATGTGCCAAGAGCTGTGCTCTTCTTGTATTACCTTATTTATCTTCCAAACTACTTTACTCTCCACTGAAAAGGTCCACTTCATTTTCACCCAGTTAAAACAATAAACATACAATGATACTAAGAAGTTTTTAAAAAATAAGTTTATAATTATGGGAAAAATCTCCTTCAAATAGTCACATATGTATTCCTACTTTAGATGCAACAAAGAGAAACTGCTTGATGCTTCACTGACCTAGGAAACACAACATGACACACCTGCCCACGGCCTCTATCTAAGCATGTGACAGGAGGCTGGGAGGAGTGTCCATTGCTACAAGGAAAGCATCAGGCCTTGATTCCAAAGTACAGTAATGATGCTTGGTCAGCAAAGAGCTAGTGAACTCTAAGTAATGTTCAAAGACTTAAATGTTATGCAAATAAAAACACCTCTAATCTTAATGTCCATACTTTTTTAAAAATGCTTTTTTACAGCTTTTGGATGAGTGCTCTAGGCAATATAGTCGGTGAAGATAAAAACTGAAATACCTTTTGTATTCTTAGACACATACAGCTGAAGAAGACTCAAAACAACAAGAAAGAACAACTCAAAGAAACCCAGCCAGAAACACAAACAAAAATAGGAATCCAGCAACACAATATTAAAGAAAAAGAAAGACTGAAACTCCCTCAAGCCCACCCCAATCTGATTATAACAGACCCTTTGAGTGGGAGCTAAGAAGTCCACAGTTGCTTAAATGTTAACTAAAAAGATATTCTGCTCAACAAAGAATTCTATAAAATGTGTGAGCTTCTGTAATCAGTTTAATTAGCCATAATACACTTGACATTTCAAGTAAATGATTTTCTAGCATGATTTTATGTAAAAAAACTTAAACACCACCAATATCACAGGCACATTCTCACCTTTGTCAAGGAACTCTAGGGAATAGAGAAGCTCCCAGCTCTCCCGGGCCAATTTAAAGCTTTCTAACACTTCAATGGAGTTTGGAAGTTCTGCTTTGTTAACTACAATGTGACGATTTCTTCCTTTTGTCGAACATTCTTCGTCATCTGAACTCTGCTTTGAAAATGTGAACATAATAAATTCAAAGTTATGAGTAGACACATGCCACAACATTATATTTATTGTTGCTAATTCTGCCTCCATGGATTTTATATCAAAGAATAGGTTGTGGCTCAGAGGTAGAGTACTTGCCTAGCATGTGTGAGGCACTGAAATTGATCCTGAGCACCACATAAAAATAAAATAAAGGTATTATGTCCACTTATAACTAAAACATAAATATTAAAAAAAGAATATTTGGGCTGGGGATATGGTTCAAGCGGTAATGCCCTCATCTGGCATGCGTGGGGCGCTGGGTTCGATCCTCAGCACCACTTAAAAAAAAAAATAAAGATGTTGTGTTCACCGAAAAACTGAAAAATATTAAAAATTCTCTCTCTTTAAAAAAAAAAGAATATTCTATGAGTATAATAAAATCTTTTAAATTTAACAATTCAGCTTTAATTAAAAATGTCATCTTTATATTCTTACATTCAGCTTTGACTTAAAATTAAATTTTTTTGATGATAAAGTCTTATTTTCCAATAATTTCAAAACATCAGTTTTTATAAAAGCCAAAAAATTAGATTCTTCAATTTAGAGATATAGGCCCAAGCCCCCAAAGACATTCTGTCCGAGAAACACGCCACTCATAACTCCTCTCCAGGGCCACCCTGGTTAGCTCCACTCTCCCGTAGAAGGTGTTCGGTCAGAAATTTGTATGTGCTTATCCAGTAACACCCTTGTGATTTACAAGTCGGAGTTCTACTTCTTTTGCTCTTCATCTCAAGGCTTATAAAGCCAAAGAAGAGAGTGGGCTGCAGAGAAGGCAATGGCCACCAGTACCCTGGGAACAGCCAGCTGTGCTACCCAAGTACAGAGAGGGTGAAACGGTTCCACTGCATTTTATTTTGCTGAGAACTTCTTGAATCTTTTATTCCACCTAAGTGATTTTACAGCTTCCATAACCAAATTAAATCATTCCTACAGATTTTCACCACATTAAGATCATTGTGAATATGTATAAATGCTTTAGCTAAAAGCGCTGCTCCCTATGCCAATCTCCCCTGAGACAGGCAGCATGCCCACAGTGTCTCCCCTGACCCACTTCCACAGCTTAGTATTCTCCTGCTTCTCCTTGTGCTTGGGGACTCTACCTACCCCTATGCTCTCCCTCAGGACTGACATATGCCCTTCCACAAGTCAAACCTCTCTCTCAGGTATCCTGTTTCTTCAGGGTCCTGTTTATTCCCAAGCAGTGACAATCTAATATCAACATTATGAATGCTGTGCATTTTTTAACTGTTGCAACTTAAAAAACATTTCTGACTCCAAATGAGGCCAGGAATTTGTGAAGGACCCCAAATGTTGGGGAAATTATATGGAATTCCAAATAGTTTGTAAAATCTTAAGAAATTACTTTTGAGATGATAAGCACCCTCTGAAGCTCTAAGGGGATGTGCTGAAGCAGCAGTTCTCCTAACTGCAGGGGACATACTCAAGCGTGTGCGAGGTGGGGAGGCACTGCCCAAATCTATGTGAATTTACTCTTTCACCACACATCCACTGACGCCCACCAGGGCGCTAGTGGACCAGACAAAGTCCCTGGCCCCATGGAACTTGTGCTGTAGTGAAGGGACACAGCTAGGAAATCTAAAAGCAAATAAATAAGAATAGATAATAGTTAATAAAAAAGAAACCACTGGGCAGTTCCTTAAGATGAGTGCTCAGGAGAGGCTTTAGAGGGAGAAACATTTGGGCTGGGGCTTAGTGACAAGGCTCCAGCCTGGAACTGAGAGAAAATCACAGAGCACAGCCTGGACAAGGGAAGAGGCTGGAAGGCAAGTCAGGTGTGAGGACACACAGTACCTACTGCAGGTGCACCTGTGGAAGGAAGAGGGCTCAGGAGGGCTCTGCAAGCTCTGGCTTTAGTCTCAGTGCCACAGGAAGCTGTCAGAGGTTGTAAAGCAGGAGTGTGATATCTGATTCATGTTTCAAAAGATTCCTGGTTGCAGGGTAGAGAAGAGGCTGTGGGGAGCAAGGGTGCAAGATGGGAGACAGAATGACCACTGATGGTCTAGCACAGAAATTTTGTTGGTTTGAACCAGAGAGCGAATGGCAAGAAAGGAGAGAAAATGATGGTTTGGGGCTGTTAAATACTGAATTACATGGAGACAAGTCGTTACTTTTATTTAACACCAGTAATAAAACCTGTTCCTACATGAGAGAAAGGGATGTGTGAAGTCTTCATGAAGCACCTAGATAAGGCATCAAGGAGCACTGATGAGATCTCCCCACCCAGGAATGTCAGGCAAGAAACAAAGAGCAGACACAGGGCATCTGAGAGAACCTGGTAAGAAGAGTTGTCAACTTGGGGCTCATGGGCAGACCTCAAATCATCTGCAGAACTGTTTGTGTATTTCTGAGAGGAAATATAACAAGGGTTATTAACCTATGAGAATTCAGAAGAGTTTTATGTCTTCCTGGCTCCAATCCACCCTCTTACTACAGAGCCTTTAGAGACTTTGAATTAATGGAACCTTAAGGCACATTTCTYATCATACCCAGGATCCTCAAAAGCGCTACTCAAGGACTAAGAAATGTGAGTCAAGAAACTGAAAATATGGGAAGAGGAAGGAAAAAAATAGGTGAGGCTCCTGGTTTCCTTTGGACATTTTGACGACAGCAGGGATTAATAAACTGCCATCTGTGAGACCAACCCTGTTTTGTAAATAAAGTTTTATTGGAACATAACCATGGTGGTTGTTCATGCACTGTCTGTCGATGTTTTTGCACTATAACAACAGAGCTGAAAATATTTATTACCTGACCACTGAGAGAAGTGTGCCGACTCCTGAACTAGGGCCTCTCCACTTTCCTGTACACACTAGCCTTCACTACTGACTTTATTGTAAGAAAGGAAATCGCTGTCCTGCACAGGCTTGCTGCCTAGCTGGGTTAGAAGATAGAAAATTCACATTCTCTGGCCTCTTGTGTCTTTGTGCACATGGTCCCCTCTCAACAAAATCTACTTCCCAATTCCAGGTGACAAAATCCTACACCCTTACAGGCAGATTTCAATGCTGCTCCTCCATGAAAGCCTTCCTGCACTGCATGTGAGTTGTTCAGGTTACTCCTACACCTTGGCCCTTGCCCTTCTGAGGCCAGTACCCACTATAGCACCCTGCTCCATGTGCAATGTCATCTTGGCTTTGTTTCGCAAATTAAAATCACGCCATCCAGTCAAAATATAGACAAATAACTTATAACAGGGTTTCTCAACCTTGTCACTATTAATCTTTTGGATTGTCCTCTGACCTAGAAGATGTTTGACACCATCCCTGGCCTCTACTTACTAGATGATAACTAATTAACAACCCTTCCCCAACCAAAGCATAGCTGTGACAATTAAAAATGCCTCTAGATATTGCCAAATGTTTCTTGGAAATAAGATTGTCTCCAGTGAGACCCCCCATTTATACTATGATTAAACTGTATAATTAAAAGAACAAATAAGCTTTATCAATTGAGTTCTGAAACTATATTTTACAAAATTCATGTCTAGCAAATAAACACATACTATTAATTGTATCTGAAAGGATTTACCATGGGTTTTTCTCTTCCCTCAGCCAGTTTCCTCTTTTTATGTATGTGTTTATTGCGATCAATTTCTACATCACCATACACATTTGATACATCTTCAAGAAGAACCAGGGGAACTTGGCTTGGAGCATTGGGACCTATCRGTGGCAGAAAACACCAAATGTAAAAAACGTAGCAAGAAAAACGATACTTAATATTAGCTGAAGTGTGGCAATCATCACACAAAACAAAGCCCATTAGAATTTATCAGACATTATTACCCTATGTACATGCATGACTATATGATGGTGGGATTCTACATCATATAGTCATGCATGTACATATGTCATACTCCATTTATGTATGCCGTATCATGGGCATTCTACTGTCATGTAAAACTAATTAGAACATATTTTAAAAAGTATCATTTCTTAAAATGAATAAACAAACAAAAGACAAAATAAAACTTGTTCACTGTGATCCTGAATAGGTGAACAAACAAGTATACATATGTAGGAAAAAACTAAATGGTTAATAAATGTTCTCTCTCACTGATGAAAGCAAGTGATCACTCCTCTTTGTATTTGTTTTGTTTCTTAACTTTTTTTTTTTTTTTACAATAAGCATGAGTCATAAAATTACTATAAAAAGATAACAAAACTACACATATGGTTATAAACTCCAAACAAAATAAGAACATGAAAAACTATAAGGCAATACACAAAAGTACAATTATTGTGGGTGACTTTACCTTCTTATTTCTATCTTTCAAACTTTCTAGAACTAATTCACATTATTTAACATCTCACTTAAATCTTTGCCTATGGTAATGTCTTTGTAAATTTTTGTAAACTTTATTTTGTAAATTTAATCCACACCATTCAGTCAAAATATGGACAAATACTTACACCAGGGTTTCTCAACCTTGTCACTATTAACCTTTTGGGCTGTCCTGTGACCTGGAGGATGTTTGGTACCATCCCTGGCCTCTACCTATTGGATGCTAATAGGTAACTGGATGCAACTCCTCCCTACCCAGCTGTGGCAATAAATAATGTCTCTAGACATTCCCAAATATCCTCTGGAGGGTAACATTACTCCCAGGGAGATCCACTCTGCTTAAATTCTTTGCTACATCTGCTCTTTTTTCAAAATAGTGACATGTGATTTGTTATTTAGTTTCACAAGTACCACTATAACCCTTGACATAGGAATTTTAAATAAAACATTACATTAAAAACTACCAACTTAAGCCAAACTAAGTCAAAATAAATCACCAGCCACAAAGAGCACAAGTACTACTCTACAGTTTCTAGATCCAAAAACAAAGGTGAAATTAAACAGCTGTGTCCTCCTCACCATCCCTACTAAACAAGTATTTTAGAAAACTCTAAAAAAAGATGGTAAACCAACCTTGGAAGAGAGATGGCTGTATGCTGTTGACATACTGGAATGCATTCTTGAAGAAGACTAACATAGTAGAATAAACCACTTGGTTTTTATATTTTGCATGTGCTTCATTATCAAAGTTGTTCATGTATCTGCAGAGATCCTTCATTCTATGCAATATGTCACTATAGCTTCTGAAAGACAGAGGATGATAAAATGTATCAGTTATCTGGACTTCTCAGCAAAAGATCTAAAGAAAGGCTCTGATAGAATCTACATTTACCAAATGCAACTGTTTAAGTTATTTTTTAATATACACATTTAAGGCATCTGCTATAGGTATATATCAATACATCTGTATAATCTGTCCTGATCAAAGCAGGATAATTTAGTTTCCAACTCCTTTATAACCAAGTGGGTTTGGAGCCTTTGTATTTCTCTCTTCTAGTTATTCATAAAATATATAAGAAGTTGTTGTGGGGTTAGGGATAACACTGCTCAGCAGTAAGATACTTGCCCAGCACCCCACCCCCCTCAAAAAAAAAGAAAAGAAAGAAAGAAAACCTTGTTGTGAACTACTGTGCTTCCACTATTCGGTGGAATACTTATTATTTCTATCTAAYTGTGTTTGGGAAGCTGTGATCTAACCTCTTACTAATCCTTTTCTTCTACCCTTCCTACCTTCTAGTAATCACTGTTATACATTCTAATTTATTTTTCTCAACACCCACATGTGAGAGAATATGTGAAATTTGTCTTTTTGTATCTGACTTATTTCACTTAGTCCTCCAATTCTATCCCTTGCCACAAGTGATATCATTCTTCTTTAAAGCTGAATAATCTTCTATGACATATAAATACCACATTTTCTTTATACAAATTCATCTGTTGAGCACCTAGGTAAATTCTACATTTTAGCTATTGTGAATAGTGAAGCAATGAACTCAGACATTGCAGTTGTCTCTGACATGCTCATTTCATTTTCTTAGGATAAAATATCCAGAAATGGAAGAGATGGATCAATGCAGCATTCCTACCTTCAGTCTTCCGGGAGAATCTCCACACTGTTCTCCATAGTGGCTACACTAATTTACATTCCCACCAACAGTGTATAAGACTCCTTTTTCTCCACATCTTAATGAGAATTTGTTATTTTTTATCTTTTTCATAAGAGCCATTCTAACTGGGGTAAATAGCTCATTATGGTTTTGATTTGCATTTTCCTGCTGGCTAATGAAGTTCAGCATTTTTTCACAAATTTGTTGTCCATCTGAATTTCTTCTTTTAAGAAGTGTCTTATTCATATTAAAATTATTTTTTGTAGTCTGAAAATGTCTGCTTTTGAATTAGGGCAGCAATCAGACCAAGGTTTCATGACAGACACATGTCAAGTAACTTTTCTTTTCTCTGAACTATCATGGAAAGCTTCAAACTCAATATCTTTTTATGAGTCTATATTTCAACTAGGAGTCATTTAATAAAGTGAAAAACCACACTCTTTGCATAAATATTAAATATTACAAAATCTTCCCCCAAATAAGTGTACCTATGCATTATATTAGTTTTAAAAAAGTATTTTTGTGGGCTAGGGCTGTAGCTCARTGGTAGAGTGCTTGCCTAGCATGCATGAAGCTCTGGGTTTGAGCCATGGTATGTGAGGCACTGGGTTCAATCCTCAGCACCACATTAAATAAATAAAGGAATTATAAAGGAAAAGTGATTTTTTTTAACAAGGATCCCAAGATTACACAATCAAAAAATTTGATAGGCAATTTCAGAAATAAACTGTTACCGTCTTCCTTTATCCATCTGCCATTCACATCTCATTCCAACAACATTCAAAATTTTAAACAGCCTCTCCCAAGGGTCCACAATCTGGGATGACTTTTCAGTGAGCCCTTCTATTACATACTTCTGAGAGCTACGTTTGCTAGGTGACATTAAATCAGACGTATCTTGGGCACCTGAGATGTGAGAAAAAAAGTAGCCTACAATTAACATCACTACTTACTATTTATGTAATAAACAGTAACTTCATAAAGAAAGGTCTAACTCCTCATTCAAAAGAACAGAGTGCAGAACCCCAACAATCACAGTCACCTAATGCATCTTAACGCTTCGGTCAATGATGGACTGCTCACACAACCGCAGTCCCACAGGATTAAATGCAGCTGAAAAACTCCTATTACCTAGTGAACATGAGCTAAAGAAGACATAAGAAAAAAGGAAATTGCAAGAGAAGAACCCCCAATAAAATTCACAATGAAAGGTTTAGCAGCTTTTGTAGACCTCAACAAGTTCCCTAACAGGCTTGAAAACATGGGTTCCAATACCCAAAGGGTTTCATTAATGGAGAGAAAAGATCACGGTGTGATTTCTACTTAAAAGGAAATCTCATGGGGGAAAAAAAATAAGCAAAGTACCATGGACATATTTCTGAAAAGAGTGACAACTCCTCAAGAGCTTCCAGCAGGTCCCTCAGAAAGGACTCCAAAATAACACTGGCATCGCTACTGTAGGAGCTGGCAGCTCCATGTATGCTACTGCCCTAGAAGACCTTCCTGTGGCTCAAGATGTGGACGTACAAAACAGTGATATGGATGATCCTGACTCTGCATAGCCATGGCTAGTATGTGTGTGCGGCATAGTAAAAAAAAAATTGGGGAGGAGGTACCAGGTATTGGAATTCAGGGGCACTCAACCACTAAGCCACATCCCCAGCCCTACTTTTTATTTTATTTAGAGACAGGGTCTCACCAAGTTGCTTAGTGCCTCACCATTGCTGAGGGTGCCTTTTCCTCCTGCCTTATCCTCCTGAGTTGCTAGGATTACAGGTGTGCACCACCCAGTGTAGCAAAATTTTTTTTTAATTAATTAATAGAAAAAAGTTTATAAAGATGAAAAACAGGGGTCTGGAATGTGGCTCAATAGTAGAGACCTTCTGGGTTTAATCCCCAGTACTACACACACACACACACATACACACACAAAAAAAATCTTTAGTAAACTAACATTAATTTATTACTTCAGTAATACATTTTTGAAAATTTATAATTTTTACAAGTTTAGTGTAGCCTAAGTGTTCAGTGTTATAAAGTCTACAGTAGTGTACAGTCCTGTCCCAGGACCTTCTTTACATTTAGATCTATTTAGACAAATACTTCCCATTGTGCTACACTGGCCTGCAGTATTCAGTGTGGTAACACACCACACAGGGTTAGCACCCAGAAGCAACAGGCTCAACTCTACAGCCTAGGTGTGTCACAGGCTGTGCCCGCCTAGGTTCATGCACATACACTCTCTGATGTCTGCATCATGAAATCTCCTAACAACACATTTCTCAGAAGGCATTCCCATCACTAAGCAATACATGACTGTGTATGTGAATCACAACTGGCCTCTAGTCTAAGAAGAAAGTGAATTTTGAGCTGTGGTACCTATAAGAGTTAAGTGCATTAATGTTGCAACTAGAATGTTTTGATCAAGGGATAGAAATGGTTCTTGAAACAGCTCATCTCTTAATGTAATACTTTGTTTTCTTGATAACATCCTTTAGAAAAACTGTCAAACTATATGCATTCAGAGGACAGGAATCGAATTGATAAGGGATTTCTGAAGTTGCAATGTTACTAAATCTGTCTAAATAAAATTGCAGGATAGTCCCACTTACCTTGATGCTGATTTTCTATTTGAGTAGACCTAGTGACATAGTTGATATAAAATTCAGCTGCTTTGTTCAAGTATTTATATAATAAATTGGCAGGCAACCGAACATCATGATTGTTAATTATTAGAGGAAGGACATCACAAACTGTGGAAGGGGAAAAATAAGAAAAAAAAATGATCAGGTTGTCTATCCTAGGGTTCTGGCAATAACAAAATCCACATTAGAGCTCATTAATGTAGCATCTAAAACATACAGGAAAAACCCTTATGGCATACTTTTTTAAAAAATCGCCATGCAAAGGGATACTAGTGAAAGGAGGCAGTGAAAAAATGCCCAAGCAGATCCAAAATTGTGGGAAAAGGTCCAGCACACACACTGAGTGGTGTGAGTGGACTCAGCTATGATCTTGCTTCTCACTTACATGTAAGGCTGCACATATTCTTTCAGAAGTTCAAATATTACAAACTAAAAGTCTAAAAGTTGTTTAAAATGCTTTCTGGATTGAAAAAAAAAAACTTAAGACTTGAATTTAATAATACAAAGAGTTCCTCTGCATTCCACAAATGACCTATCCCACCATACTCTACTCACCCCAAGGAAGTAACACAAAATACAATATTTCTTACCAAACAATTTTCTAAAGCAGTTAACAGGAGATTCTTGTTCTTCGATAGTTTCAGCTTCTAAAAGTACCTCCCCAAGGCCAAACTGTTTCAAAATAAAATTAACCATTTAAATGTGTGCAGTTTAAGATGTCAGAATTACATGAACAAATAGTATGGGGGTTGGGGATATAGCGCAGTCAGTAGAGTGCTTTCCTCACATGCATAAGGCCCTGGATTCAATCCCCAGCACCACAAAGAAAAAAAAAAAAGTATGTATTTTATTACACAGTTTATATAGTTAAACTTCCTGATGCATTTGCAATACAACCCAGAAGGCCAAGTTAATCTGATTACTTCACCACTCTGGTCTCAGTTATTCCCCACTAAACTAGCAAAATTAAAATGTTAATAGAATGTTTAAAGAAACTTTAGGGAAGCATTGGAACTGGAGTTAGAATAATACAGATAGATTTTCTGTTTTTGCACTGGGAATTGAACACAAGAGTGCTCTACCACTGAATTACTTCCCCACTCTTTTTTATTTTTTTATTTTCAAGATGGTCTCATTAAGTTACTAAGGGTCTTGCTAAGTTGCCAATGTTGGCCTCAAACTTGGGATCCATCTGCCTCCATGCCTGGCTAGATGAACAGATTGTCTAAGAAATGTGGAAACTAACTTTATTCTCTATATTCAAATACATGAGAAGGACAAAAATCATCATTCTCAAGAGTTTGGCGGAGCAGCCAGTCATTTAGAATGGGCAAGATTAGACAGAAATGTCTGAGTTTTAAGACCATCTTTCCATCACCGCTGCACAAGTATAGTAGAGTCCTTTATCAAAATCCACCAAGATCTTTGCATTATCTTTCTTGCAACCACACTGGAATGCTCTATGGTAGAAGTGGAATAATGCAAAATATTAAACTACACAGAAGGTTAAAAGTTAGAGTCATGATCAGGGAGCAGAATGGTTTGAATAGTATCCCCCAAACTCATATTCACCCGCAGCCTCAGAATATGACCTTATATAGTCAGGTATCACCTACTGATGGGATATGGCCTGAGAGGTGCATCATTAGGCAAATTCATCACTGTGTGAACATCACGGATTGTACTTATACAACTTAAGACGGCTATATAGTCACTAGGTGGTATAATCTTATGGACCACTGTTATATATGCAGTCCATTACTGATCAAAATATCATTATGGGGTGCATGGTTATATGTTTTACCTTTAAAGAAAATAGTGTCTTTTGTAATTATAATGAATTAAGATGTGGTCATACTGATCATATAGGCAAGAACTCCAGTGACTGGTGTTCTTATGAGAAAGACACAGAAGAGCAGGGAAAGCCCACATGACAATGGAGGCAGAAATGAGAGTGATGCAACTGCTAGCTGAGGCATAAGAAAGATCTCTGACACCATCAGAAGTAAGGAATCTTCCCTGGAATCTTTAGGGCGAACATGGCCCATTAACATCTTGCTTTTGGACTTCCAGGTTCCAGAATTGTGGGAGAATTTCTGAGTTTTAAGACACCCCACTTCTACTTTATAATGGCAGCCCTAGAAACAAATATAAGGAAGTATACAAAAGGTTAACCAGGGGCAGAAACCAGAAAGATGGCAAAGGAAAGAAAAACCAATAGAGTTTGAATGACCAGAATGAAGGGTTTGAATCTTGATTACTCACAGGCTGTGGGAAGTTACATTTAACAGGAAATCCTAGCACTTAACCAATGCCTCCAATAGTACTCAATAATTATCACAGATGTGGCAAAAATAGGGCAGAAACACATGAAAAACATCTCCATTAAGACCAGGAATTATGGCTCTCATTTAAATTCAAACACATTGTCAAATACAATGGAAAAAAAAAGATTATTTTTTACTGTAAATATTATAAGTAAATACTACTGTCAGAATGTGATGTCTATTTCCTTACACTGATAAGACAACTTCTAAAAATGTGTAATTAATGTTTGCCAACAGTGATGGCCTTTTAGCTTTACTTACAAAGAAACTCTTGATTTAAGTCAACCTTATCCAGAGCTCCTGGGATTCTCTGCGTTAGTATAATACACAGTGTAGCTCCTAAATATACTGATTTACCTGTCAATAATCAGTTCTATTTTCTCTTAAGAAAAAGGAAAGAATCAGTCTTACCCCATGTTGCACTACTGTTTCAGGGAAGCGCCTCAAAAGAAGGAGCAACATTTCTGATCGTTCCAACGTGTTGAAGCATTGTTCCGTAACCTTTAGTAACATTTCACACTGGACCCGACCAGGAAGGGTTTCAAATAAACCTGGGTACAACAAATTTACCTTTAAAATGTCTTCTAGAGAGAAAATACTGAAGCAAAATATGTTAAGTATGGCAATTTCTTGTACTGAACAATAGCCAATCACTGTGGTCAGGTTTCACTTACAACCTGGTAGGCTTTGGAACTCCACAGTATTTAGAACAAGAGGTTTACTGAAATATGATAAAACACTGGAGGCTTTACTGAATCCAGAGCACAAGAATGGTATGTGTGGACAGTCACAACAATGCTTGTTACAGGTTGAGACAAAGAATATACACTTGTTTCAGTTAAAATGACCTCAACACCTACTTTATATTTTATCTTGAATTTGAAATCTTTGATTGGCTATAGTAATACGGAAATTTTTTTTTTAATTTCAAGTTATGAAAAGTTCCTCTCTTGTTTTGCATAGGTCTATAAATACTTTCTGGTCACTGTAAAATGTGTTAAAAATATAAATTTCCTTGTCTCGCTTATAGCTCCACATACTTTAGGAAAACTTAAAGGGATCTAAAAATATTCAAGGGACTGAGTGTCATTACAGACTTTAGTTGCCAAAAGTAAAACATATGTGTTTTATACCAATACCACAGATGTGACTTTCTAGTGAAATGCCTACATATGATTTGGTATTCCTTAAATGATAACTTATACAATATTAAAATATTACTCCATTCTTACTTCTTAAAAATTGGGTTTGTTTATCCTGTGAATCATTCCTTAATGCTGATGTAATAATGCTGATTTCTCTCCATACCACCGGCTGGTCTGGGAAACTCACAAACCTGTTTTTAAAATATGTACATAAATTAAAATGTCAGATTTTATACAGTATCCAAAAAAATAAGTAAGAATATTAACTTTACATTTTTCTTTATTTGAAGTGAATATTTAGATATGGCAAAAACAAACCAAAATAAAGATATGAAAATTAAAACTGGTTTAGAAAAATGAGAGCACTCACAAAAGTCTTTAGAAGTTTTTACAAATGAAAAGACAAGCACCTCTAACATATACAGAACTAAAAATATCAACAAGACTAAAACAAACTATCTAAAAAGGGGAAAAAAATAGGCAAGGACAAATCAGAGACTATAAATTGCCAAAAAAAAGAGCTGAAATAATACTCAACTTTACCAGTAATATGAGTAGCATAAGATTTTTTAAAAAATAGTACGACAGAATTCTTTCCTATCATATTACAAGAATGAAAAAGCAATTAATAAGTCAGGAGTGGTGGCACATGACTATAATCCCAGCTACTCACAAGGCTAACACAGGAGAATCACTTGAGCCTAAGAGTTTGAGATCAGCTTGGACAACATAGTGAAACTCCATCTCAAAAAAAAAAAAAAAAAAAAAAAGAGGAAGAAGACAGAAAACAAGAGAGAAAGAGAGAGAGAGATTAATAATATCCACTGTTGGCAAGGATGTGGGAAAACTGGCACTTTTATACATCTGTGAAAATAAAAACTGGGATAGTCCTTTTGGAGAGCAATTTGGTAATGGATTAAAATTTTAAATATACATGCCTTTAACTATGGAAATATGTCTTAGAATCCTCTTCCAATGAATACGAAATTACTTACTGATATTCTGAACAAAATTTCAAATAACTTGAAACTATCTAAATGTCTAAGAAGAAAGGAGTGGTTATGAGATGCTCTACAGGCACAAAAAACAATAAAGAGAATCCTGACATACTGTCATAGAAAGGGCTCCATCCATAATGCAAGAAGAAAGCGAGCTGCAGCATTTGAATAGTTTAACCTCACTTTTGTAGCCTCTCCCTCCCCAAAACATTTATAATATATATTATGTCTAGGTGTATAGATACACATACAAAACTTAACTCTGGTTGAGTTTAGGAGAGACTTCACTTTTTATTCTCTATCACTTAAGTTTTGTTTGAACTTTTGCAATAAACATGTTTATTATATATCATTTATAATGTATTCCCCAAATAAATTAGTGGCTAGAAGCTTTTTAACACGGATAAAATGACTTCTCTGCAGAAGGCATGTCAACAATTAGGAAAAAACTCCCAAGTAAGCTCTGGGTACCAGCGATGTAGACGAACTTTTAAGATCTTCCCCAACTCCCACTTCACACACAGAAACAAAAGCTCAGGAGGTGATGCTCACTCACATTTCGTATAGCAGCCTCCCGGCGGTGGCAGTCCTCTCGGCATTCCGCTCGATCGTGTACATCTCATACTGCAACACACAGCAGGCCCCGTCAGCACCCAGCGCCGGGGCAGGTTCTACACCACCTCCAGCCTCCCTGGTGGGCCTTCCCCTCCGGGGCAAGGGAGGGCCCGAGAGCAAAGCGTCACCTGGTGACACGGGACCACACTTGTGGCAGCCCTGCCCAGGGCTGAGCAGCGTGACCCTGCGCTCACTTCCACCCGTCCAGGTCCCAGGACTCACGGGGATAACGTTTTGAAAGTCAGGGACGCTGAGCAAATGGCTGCCACTGGGATGAATGAATGGGAGAGTGGCCTTCCCGGGGCGAAACCGAGCTGTGCAGCCTCCGAGCAACACCACGCCGCCCCGCGACCCAACCAGCGCGACCTCCAGTGGGCTCCGCCGCGGAGGGGTGTGGACCGAGCGTCGCGCTGAACGGGAGGTGGGGAGGAGTGCGACGGGCGGGGCGGCCGGGCGCGGAGCTCACACCTCCACGCGGGCGGCAGCGCGGGCCCAGACCTCACCTGGATGTTAAAGTCGGCGGGGTAGAGGCTGCGGGCAGTGATCAGCCACGCCTTGGCGGCCCACAGGTCCTGCGGCACCAGCTCCCGAGCTCGCTGCACCAGGAACTCGCTGTCACTCTGGGCCGACATGACCCAGGAGCGAGCGAGCCGTCAGCCTAACACCGCCGGACCTTCCGGCCCGGAGACTTGGCTACAGCCGCCGCCGCCGCCGCCGCCGCTGGGAGCCACTGCGCATGTCCGGAGACGCAGGGAGGCGCGCGGAGTGGAGCGGGAGCGGGAGCGTGTTCCGGGCTTTGCGAGCAGCCGCCTGAGGTCGGCTCTCCGGGACGGCCAGGTTTACTCTCCCATGAGACTGGAGGCTGGTCACCAACTCTGCAGGGTTACCTCCAAAATATGGAGAAGTGGATTTCATTCTTGAGGATTCCAGCTTGACCCTGGTCCAGTCAGGGAGCATGCGCGGGAGCCGGGCCCGMAACTTGGAGCTACTTGGCTCTGGGCTTCCTCCGCGTTTCTTCCGCGGTCATCGGCAGGAGTCGGGGGGACCAGCAGACAAGGGATGGGAGGTGACTAGGCGTCCTGTGAGGCCTAAAATCCGGGGATTAGACTGGGAAGAAGTCTGAGAGGAAACGCGGGGGGGTGTTCGGAGAGGCGGGAAGGAGCGGGACTGAGCGGGAGCTTCTCAGCCCAAGCCCGTGCTGCAGCCTGCCCTGAATTATTTTCCCGGCTTAGCCGTGCAAAAGTCTGGGGCTCGACTGGGTGGGGTGAGGAGCATTGGGAGCGTTCGGTCTGGTGCTTCTTTATCTTTCCTAAATCCATCCACGTTTTGAGACTTTTTTCACCTTTATTCTCTGATTCACCCATGCATTTATTGAACAGCTGACATTTGGAAAGTGTTTTTTCTTGGGTGCTTGTGAGAGAGCTACGAAGATGTGCGAGATCAAGGGAAAAGTAGCGACACGATTTAAATGATCTTCTCTAGCCAGAATTCCAACCAAGATTTACAGGTTGCTTTTACTAATTTAGAAAACAAAACAAGATCAAAAAACTCTTGACTTCACATGAGTCTGCAAATGTGAACATTTGTGTCTGTCTGCTTTACTTTTTGAGTCACCATGGATTTCAGGAACTGCAGGTCGGGTCCATAAATGTCTTGTGGTGAGCTGAAATCACTCCCTGGCAACAGCAACTTCCTTATCACCTGCCTGATGGATCTTGAGAGTGTGATCAACTAGACGTCATTTAAACAGGGCTGCTGGAACTGGGTATTTCTGSTCCCTTTTGTCTGTGCAATCTGGAAGTTTATTTCCCTATCCCTGAAGATAGGGCTGGAAACAGCCCTTTGTCTTCCAAGTATAGCTATACTGATTAAAGTTCCTTTCCTGTTTTCCACCATTACTTTTTCTGTTTGGTTTTTGGAGTGGCCTGACATGATTAGTTGGGAACCCAAGAGGCAGATTTCTGGCCTATGACCCCTGGAACAAGATCAATGTCACTTTCACCAAACCTTTACATTTGAGAGAAGGAAAAATACTAATTTATGTGCTCTGATGAGAAACCAGTATTCATTTGGTGAATAGGAAGAATGTGCCCAAAAAGTGAGTTCTGAATATTAGATTTTTGATCCAAGTTYCATGTGCAAAATTGCATCAACTTCTGTTGCCACTGACTGCCATGTAAAACCAAGAGATAAAGAATTCCAAACTGATTTAATAGAAAATGGAAATTGCAGTGTACTTACATGAAAAAAATAAATATTTTAAATAAATATGAATATATTACTATTTATTRTAATATGTAAAATATCTATTTACTAATTCCAGTAATTTACAAATAAATAATTCTGTTTGTGGTGAATTAGTATATAGTTTTAGATATAAGTATCAAAAAGTGCAGACATAGAAGAGCATATGTCATGTAAAGCACCAGTGCTGTCAATCCATTAATATCTAAGCTCTTTTATTTAGCTATTGTTTTAAGACTTATGAATTTTTTTTCTTTTTCTTTTTTTGGTACTGGGAATTGAACCCAGGAGTGCTCTACCACTGAGCTAGATCTCCAGCAAACTCGACCCTTCTTTTTTTTTTTTTTTTTTTTGGAGACAATAGTCTCACTAAATTGCTGAGACTGGCCTCTAACTTTTGATCCTCCTGCCTTAACTTCCCAAATTGTTGGGATTATAGGTGTGAGCCACCCAACAGGGAAGTTATGGAAATTTCTAAGACTTCCCCCTTTATCATATTTTTTTAAAAACTTGATTCTGTTTCATTAGTGTCTTCAATGATGGCAAAGTTTGGCTAAGTTTTCTGCATCAACCTCATCCTGTCACTATGAACCCATTGTAGTATTAGCACTCCAGGAAGCTTTGTGGTTCTAAGCATGCTGTTTATTTTCCCTCTTGATGCCAGGAACACCCTAAATGTGTGATTTGTAGGCCACTCAATGTGGATTTGATTCCACTCAACAATCAAATATTTTTGGCTTTGTAGAATGGGAGAAGGTAGAAAATTGAATTTAAACAGCAGTCAGGATATTTTTTACTTTAGAAAGTGTAGGTCATACAAACAGATTGTGGCTTCAATATGTTTTCATCATTTCACTGGTTTTAATATATAAGGTATGTCATGCTTTGGATAGGAGATGTCACCCCCAAAGCTCGAGTGTTAATGCARGAGGTGAAGTAATTAGATTGTGAGATCTGTAACCTAATCAGTGAACTGATCCATTTGAGGAGATTAATTATTTGAATACATTACTGGTGGGTAACTGGAGGAAGGTGAGGTGGGTCTGGRGGAAGTAGGTCACTAGAGGCGTACCCTTAGGATTTATGTTTTATCCTGGCTCATGGCTGTCCCCCTCACCCCGCATCCTGTCAGCAGTGAGGTGCTGAGCAGCCTTCTTCTGCAGGGCCCTGCTGCCATGATGTCCCACCTCACTTAGGCCCAGAGTGATGGACTCAGCCAACTATGGACTGAACCTCTGAAACTGTGAGCCAAAATAAATTTCTTCTCTAAGTTGTTTTTGTGAGACAGTTTGGTCATGGTAATGAAAAGCCAACCAACAAAAAAATGTCACGTCAGAATTTTCAAATGGCAGAGATGACTGATGTGGGTCATTGAACTTTCAGGTTTTCATCTTAAAATTGAAGAAACAAAAACAAAGCTGTCCACTTGTTCCTGGATCTTCTATTAAATATACATTGTAAATGAACAATTTTAATTTAGGGGATAAATCAGGGAACTCTGGATGTATTTAGATTTTTTGCCAGAAAACAGTAAGATTTGTGGCTATTTTTTAGCCAGCTTCTTAATTTATTGTGGCCTCCAGCTAAACGTTTCTCCTGAGTTCATGTTGGCCTCTCATAGTACAGAAGGGTGGTCCCCCACACAGGAAGTCCACTTCTTCTGGCTTGTTCCGTTGTGTCTTGAAGCCTCCTGTCAGAATCTGGGCACCTAACTCAAGTTCTCTGTGAACTYTATGTTATGGTTTGGATCTGGAACGTACCCTAAAAGCTCACATGTTGAAGGTTTGGTTCCCAATGCAGCAATGTTCAGAGATASGGCTTGGGAAAAGTGATCGGATCATGGGGCTCTGACGTCATCAGTGGATTAATCCATTATGGATTTATAATTTGAATAGACTGTTGGGAGGTGGTAGAAACTATAGAAGATGGAMCCTAGTGAAAGGAGTGGGTCCTTGGAAGTATCCCTTTGGAGACTATATCACATCCCCAGGCCCTTCCACTCCTAGCTTCCCAATGACAACTGGGGAGCAGCTTTGCTTGCTCTATCGACTCTTCAAAATACCATCCTAGATCCTTCCTGGCTGTTGAGACTGGCTTGAAATTTCTGCTTTAATAAATACATGCGGGGAGGTGAGTATAACATACATTGTAAACATTGATGCTATAAGAGATTCAAAATTTGGGTATCAATTTAGGCTTTCAACAACTATTCCAAGCCATTGTCATGGCTGAACCTCRGGCAGATGACCTTGGCTTTTACTAGAAAGGTTGAAGCCATCAAGCCTTAATTTTGGAGACTATTTTGTTTAGATATTAGGTATTCCCAAAAAKCTCATGCAGAAGAATGCAGGATTTTTCCAGAAGTGAGAAGATTAGATTATGATTTGTGATATAATCAGTGGGTTAATCCACTGATAGGAATTAAGCAGGCAGGGT